ATCAGGCAGAAAGCATCGCTGGTTCTTGTCAGCTTAATTCTGAGATCAACCGAGTTTAAGAGAAGTCTTTTACAGAAAAATATATCGGAATGGAGAGGCCCTATCAGGTCCACCTCTCTGGAGTTTTTTGTAAAAATCACTCGCTGATTGAGACCTGTATTGGGTCCTTTATTTATAACGATGGAATCATGCGCGCCTGCCGTGTCTTTGAAAAATAAGCCGGCACTGAACTGAGATTTCAAACTTTCTTCAGAAAAGTTCAGCAGAGTTTCATTAACTGCGCAGTAGGGATGCGTCGCGCTGGATTGAGAAATCAGGCGGTCGCAGAGGATCACGTCGCATTGTGAAAAAATTGTGTTTATAGGATAATTAATCAGAAAAGTGGCTGCTCCCATCAACCAGAGGAGTTCCATCATCATTGGTGATTTTCACACGTAAAAACAGCAGCGTATCATTTAAATCTAAATATTTTTCGCCATCCCCTGGGACAAAAAATTCTACAGGTCCGTTATCCGTCAGCGCTGCTATGGGTAAAATTTTGCTGTAGATCTTATCTTCGATAGACAGTTGCGTCATGGGCACGGTAAAGAGGTCCAATTCGCTCAGTATGCATTCTGATTTACTGTGAAGCAGTGAGATGATTAGAAAATGTCGGAGCCTCACTTTTGATACTTCTTCCTCTTTTGCTTGAGTTTTATAACTGGGTTTTTAAGCGGAGGTCGTTTCGTGAAGTAAATCCCTTTTCACGCCTGCCGGGGGGTCTTATACGGACTCGCCTTGACAGAACCATGAGCCCTGACCCTTCCTGGGCGGTATACTCAGTGATTTTGCTAACAGCTCGTGTCAACACATCTGACGCGATTCCGGTCGCAGCCTTTTTGAGATGCGGCTTCGCCAAAGCAAATCCTTTTTTAACAAAAGGTGATATAAATCTGAAGAATGTTGAAAATATCGAGCCAAAGCCGCGCCCGTATAAATAAGGAACGCTGCTAAAACCTGGGAGCCCTTGACCGGCCTGAGTTACATAATAATTAATAAATCGTTGGGGTCATTTCTCTGCAGGTGATAAATCATTTTTTTGTTTGCAAGATGTATGCTGCGCTGAGTAAAAGAACGTAACTGACCCTCTCACCCCGCTTCACGAACGTTATATTATTGTATTTCTCTGATAGGAGTGAGCGGGCCTGAAATGAAGCCTCACCGTTGTTTTTCTGTATAAGAAGTGAATCGGCTCATTCTGATCAGATTTTATTTCAATAATTTATTTTCTATATGATTCGTAGAGACGTGGATGTAATCCACAGGGTTAAACACGAGTGATCGTGTTCCCAAAGGTACCTTCAACTTTCACCGTATGTAATAACGGGGCATACACATCACCCACCAACTGCTCGGTCACTATGTCTGAATAACAATAGAACTGATATAGACTGTCGGTTAAATCAGGGGGATGAGGCGCTGATTTGACCGTTTTATTGCTGGATGACGATTTAGGTGTCAGCCACTCCTCCACATTAAAACTTAGCATACACGCCAAAGGCGCTGCAAATCTAAATTCTATTTCACCACCAATCGTATATTTGAGTGTGGGATCGGGGGTTCTGAAAATGAGATAGAAATCAGGATTAATCTTTCTCATAGCAGTCTCGCACTCATTCCTAAGTTGTTGTACATTTTTATAATACCCGGGACTAATCGGAGCTCTGTTGATTTTCGGAGGTTTGCTCATTCTTCACCATTCGAAAAAAGCACGCTCGTACGGTAAATTAAACCAGGAGTGGGTATAGGTGATTTCTGTTAGCCCCACTTGCCACCTGCCATTCAGATTGATGTGACGCACAAGATCAGTTCTGTAACTGGAAATTGTATTATTTTCAAATACATTGGTACTGGCGTTACAGGACAATGTGATATAAAAACCTCCTCCTGTCTCAGATCCATATTTTTTTTCATTTATTGTCTCTCTTTTTAAACGTCAAGTAGGTGTGAGGCCTTAATCCAACAGGAACATTTTTGGAGCCAGCCAAGCCACTCAACAAAAACTTGTCGCTCTCTTCGGAATGTCCGGCGTTTTAAAACTTTTTCAACGTGGAAGGATCTCTCGGTCAATGGGTTTACTTTCTGCAACTCTGCTTCAAAAAATGACCCTTCAATTTTTCCCCCATCAAAATCTTTGAGTTTATAAACCTTGGCGAGCGATGAAGACACTCATCCACTGTGAACAGTTCATATGTAAAATTCTGCTCATATTTTTTTAATCAAAAACACCTCTGAGTTTGGAAATTCTCACAACGTCACCCCTTTTAAACTTCATTTTCTTTGCAGGCTTCACTCCGTAAAGGTTGCGAAACACCTGCCTTTGATTTTCCATGTTTACTCCAGCGGGGGACATTTTGATGGAAGAGTGGTAGCTATGGTTATAACGTCGTACTAAATCTTGAATCACATCTATGTAGTGATGGGTGTTTTTGGCTGTGAAATATCTCCACATTCTACCTTTTAGAGTCCTGTTAAATCTCTCCACAACGCTGGCCTTTACGCTGCTGGCTGTGGCAAAGTGCACAATGCCGTGTTTCTCCATGAGGGCATCAAATTTCTTATTAAAAAATTCTTTACCAGCATCCCTCTGCAGTATTTTAGGGGTCCCACTGTCTTTCAAAACTGAATCAAAAGCTTCTGTAACATCTTTTCCCAATTTGTTTTTCAGGACTCGTACATAAGCTTTCTTTGAAAATACATCTATGATGGTTAATAGGTAATTAAAACCGTTGTTTGATTTTGACAAGGCCTGCGTGTCGCATAAGTCAGCTTGAAACTGCTTTAGTGACCCTGAGACAAAAACCTTATTTCTCAGAAAACAAACTCTTGCTGGTTTGTGGAGTGTGTAAGCATCCTGTTCTGAGAGAATATCGCAAGCCTTATCCGATGAAACTTTCTCCCCAATCTCTCGTTGTAAACTGGTTCTAAACCTTTCTACACCTCCGTAACTACCCTGATGTTTTGGTGAAAAATAAACCTTTTTCATTACCTCCTCCATCTCTGACGGATGCTTGAAAAAAATGATACATATTCATTCGCATTATTTCTTTTTATTTCATAAATTGTACACAATAAAGCTAGTCAGATACAAGGAATAAATTCTACTCACACTGTAAAAAACAACCGTGCAGTCTAGTCAAATATAATGAATAAAATCTAATGGTTAACTACTAGAAATTATTATAATAATAAAAAAAAAACAAGTTGCAGAAGAGACAGTGTACCCCCACAGTTCACTCCACCTCCGCAGCCAGTGCATCCAGGTCAGCTTTGGTCAGGCGATCGTACACCAGAAATATGTCTTTGTGAATGGGCATCACAGCCCTGAATCTGTGCAGCTGCGTCACAGCCATGGTGAACAGGATCTCAGTGTCCAGATGGAAGCCATGCAGAGTGAGAAAACTTTGAAGAGCTGGAATCAGCTTAGATGTTAAAACTCTGCTGATAATGTCAGAAAAGTGAAAATCGTAAAATAATTCATTTTCAGCTACGTAAAGACATTCGTGTTGCCGCTGACTGAGGTGATCGATCTTGCATCCATGACAGATTGTAGGAAAGTGAGCTTTGATCACCATGTTGAACAAGTGAAGAAGCCCCATCCTCACTCGGTCCACCGTGACTTCTGAAAACATGCAGTCAGGCAGACGGAGAGGCTCCTCACCGGTGCTCTGGATGTCGAGGGTCGGCTGCTGCTGCTGTTGCACACCGTCCTCCCGAGCAAGTTGAGGCAAAACCGGTGGTGGGTCAGGGATTGATGTCTCTGAAGGATGCGAAGTATCAGGACTCGCTGGAGTCTCATCGATCCAGGGTCTGAATGGTACGTTAGCAGAGACGGTCTCTGGAACCTCCATGATTGTGGGGAGCCGTGGGAAGTTATCCTCCGGAAAGCATGATGGTGGTGGCAGCGACGTAGGCTGCGGACTGCCATTGTATCTCGGTGGTGATGAAGTGGCTAGCACCCAGCTCGGTTGCGGGAAAAAGCTGCCTTTCACCATTCTGATACGTTCTCAGTCTGTCCACTGAAATGGATCCGAGCTTTTAAGGAGGCAAGCAGGGTTGCAGAGAGGGATGTGGGGTATTACGTATGAAACGGAGGGGCTGTGGGAACTGTGTGTTGAGGTATCCTAACACAAAAGAGTTATCAATCCTAATTTGATGTAAAGTGGTGCAGATTGAATAAATCAAAGCAGATCATCAATATACATCTTGACAAAAGATCAATAACTTCATGCGTCGTAACACAACAGTCATCAATTCATTTCTTGACATATGGGGTCATTAAAGGTCATATCACAAAAGGTCATAAAACAATACACCTGTCAAGTTTGATGTAAGGTGGTTTGGGGGAAAGGTCATAAAGGTCAAAGAACAATAGACCTGTCAAAAAGTCTGACGAAAGTTGGTTCCTTATGTCTCTACCCAGACCACTCCATTCATGGGCCCCCTTCAGTTGTGTGTCCATAGGACAATGGCTACAACGGTTAGGGTGGAGCGGCCTGCGTCACACAACACAGTTTGTTGATTGGGGACCAGAAAAACACCAGAGGGATGTTGTTTGTATCAGTATTTGCACATGGATGTGAGAAAATGTCAGCGAGTAAAACCAAGGTTTGGGTGGCTATCAGTGATAGCTACTAAAACCTGACTGAAAAGATGGCGCCTGTGTGGTCGGCTTGCTGTCTGTCTCTCCCTACTGTTACTGTTTTCTTATTTTTCCTCTTTGGATCTTTTTGTCAGCTTAATCCACTTGTGATACATACAGGACAGTACGCATTTAGTTTAAACCTCGTAGGCCAAGTGAGAGTTCAACTGGTGATTGAAATGATTGAAATCCCAGACCCGTACAGGTCCACTCCAACCCAGACTATTCCACTCAATGGAGCCGAAGCACTAGAGAGTAGAAATCAGGGTTCTATCAATTACTGCAGGACTTGGAGCAGCAAAATAGCCACAAACCATCATATTGCCACCACCGTGTTTAATTGCTGTTAAAAAGTTCAACTACGTGAGACATGCAATGCTTCTGTTGTACTTTTCTTGTACTAGAACTTTAGAACAGAGCCCGATGAGTATCTTTTTGAGACCGTTCAGTGAACTCCATGTTGTCAGACAGGTCCTGTTAAATTGTCGTTGTTCAGTCTTTGCCTGACAGTGAATATTAGTTCTAGAATCAAACCCTTTAGAGTGTGACAGGACAAAAACACCTGTGAGAAGGCAAATACCTTTGTCACAACATTTGGTAGACCTCCGGGTTATTTCTGCTGGAACAACGGTCTACAGTCAAAAGTAACATTTCACTGAACTGTTACAGCTTTTCTGAGATTAAAGTTGTGTGAAGCTGACTTTTGTTTCAGGTTCCTGCTAACTAGCGGTTAGCTCATCAATCCGATTACAATATCCTGTTTCTCCAAACTGAGGTTGCACAAACAGCTAGCTACAACAGGTTTGCTAATGAGTGTATGCAAACTATCACATTAACAATTATTTTTTGTTTTCTACAGAACAGGAACAGACTTTAGTTGTTGCAATAAAACAAGGTAATATTTAAAATACTTTAGCAATAGCGACGTCTTACAACAGATCTGATATGACTATTTTCTTCATGGTAGGCTTTAACAATATGGTCGTGTAACAGCGGCGGTGAGAGCTGCGTCCTGACCTCAGTCCAACTTACTGAGAAGTACATACGTTCTGACAACAACAACATTGGAGGGGACCCTCGAGACCCTCAGCCTGTCACTGTAGGCGAGCCAGCAAGGGGGCAGGGGTCCAAGTTATTCCAGGCTAAGGCAATGAGGGAAGAGGGGTCACAGTTCGCTGTGCACGCCCCTCTGCTTCAGCACCGGCTGACAGGCTACAGGAGTCTGGAAGTCCATGATGTACTGGCATTTGCTGGGCTCCTTCACCGAGCGCAGGGCTGTCTCCGTTCCGCATGTCAGCGTGACCTAGAAAAGCACGCAGGAGGAGAGAGAGTGTGAGGTGATGTGGGGACACATTTAACCCCAGTCTTTATTTCAAGAAGACTTTTTTTATGCGTTTCCTCTTTTGTCTGAAAGTGGGAAAAAACCAAACTTGTTGCATAATAAACAAAACTCCTCAGACTCAGTGTGTGTGTTTGTGTGTGTCGACATCTCCACGCCTGCAACCAGGACACATACAAGTGTCTCTATGCTTAAGGGACATTGTGGGATAATGGGACATCACTGCTGTCATCACACATGTGAACAAGACAGGAGAGGACGTGATTACCGCCGTCATGACTTTAACAGGTGACGCCGGCGCTCGCTACGACAGAACAACCAGAAAACACACACGCACACACAACTTCTGCTACTTGTAGGGGTTTCTATAGCAACGCCTCACATCATACTGCACCCGGAGCAGACGATCTTTCTGCTGAACAAAAGCACCTGGAGAGCCCCAGAGATAAAACTTGACAGGTTTTATTGTGCTGAAGTTTCAGGCAGGTAATTCAGTTTAGTCCCGCGCTTGGATTAAAAATAAACTCCCTCTTTGTGTCGCCTGCTATCTGGTTGTGCTGAGATATTAAGTAGTTTTGTGCAGCTCGCAGAGACAAAGTGTTTCACTGCAGGAGCCTAAGTCATATATCAGTTTTGCTTTATTTTTGGTGCTCAAAACAAATGTTTACATTTAAATTCATGTTAAAGTCAACGTTTTACTTCAATTTTAGCCCTAGTGCTAAATAATAGATTGGATCTATTTGAGGCCTGATGGCAGGAAACAACGAGGAAGGAACGTTTAAAAGTAAAGGTCTAGCTTACCTTTGTTCCTGACATTGCAAATTATAAAACTAAGTTTTTGTGGAGAAATTATTAAAATATGGTTGTTATCTAAAAGCATGTACATGTTGTTAATGACTTTAGCTACAAGTCAATATCTTTAAAACCGACAAACTTGTAACCGTTTTTATGATGGCTAACTGTGGCGGCCATCTTATATTGGACTGATTCCAAAATCTAATCACTAATTATTAATAATAATATTATTCATATTATTAATAGAGTTTCACTGAAATCCACCCAGTAGTTCAGGAGACATGAACAACCAAACACAGGAGACATATGATAATAAATGATAAATATTAAAAGAGATGTAACACGTTTTGAGACCATTTAGAACCAAAACCAAATAAGTTTCCAACACTAAATCTGTACATAAGTCTGTGTATGCATTGGACACAGCAACCCAACTTAAAGTGCGGGTAACACCTAAATTCACTTTTTTGCTGATAACCTGTATAGATGAGTGTCTTTATAGTGCTGTAGACATGTGTAAATATTAGTGTGGCAGTTTAGTGCTACTTACTTTAAATGTAATATTTCAGCCCAAAACCATCATTATGTCTCCATCGTCAGGTTAAAACTCGGCTCCACACTGATTTAGACTCAGCCACAGCTGATTGCCGTAGCGCTGCAGGGCGACGTTGTCTGTACCGTACTACAGGCTACACTGCACTGGACTCCTGCTGAGTCTCGCCGCACCTCTACCTGGCTCAACCACTCACACTCTGATACGACATGTTGACGCTCGGAGCCGCTCGCCTCCTTAAAAAAAGTCCTCCTCCCCTTTTCTCTCAGGATCGCGATGAACAGGACATCCTCCTTCCTGCAATCAGTTTCTGCTCTTCTCCTGAGCAGTGAGTCTGCTCGTTGTGTGCACGCGTTTATTAACGACTATTTTTCTGACTGAGAAACTCAGAGTTGTGTTTAGATCTGCATGTTTAAAAATCAATGTGTGCATCACGCTTCTATCACTGAATCTCAGGCATCTACTGCTTAATTATTTAGTAAAATCTTACAGCGTTTAGGGTTGAAGGACAGATAAGCAGGTAGACTTGATTGAACCAACATGATTTAAGGGAGTGGTTCCCAGCCTTTTACCTTGACGATCCCCTTGCCTGTTTCTAAGACAAACAGAGACCCCCAAAGCCAACGTTTACCCACATGCACACATGGAAAGTGATTAATCACAAGCTTTATACAGACATACACATTTAATACTCTTATATATTATAATAATGGGTGTGTAATTTGAATTTTATGAATGTAATTTTTAGAAATATAATAACCTCACAACCTCAGTACAGGCAGTCTTTTGGGGATCCTTTTGGGGGGTCAATGCCCTGATTGGGAACCACTGATTAAAGGTTGTACTATGTGTGATTTGTATTTCTCTCTGAGTGACACAATCAGTCAAAATGTATTAATGAATCAGCAGTAACCGGACTCAGTTACAACGTTGGTAACTTGACCAAAGCATGGCCTGGATGAGGCTTCTTTAGTTGTTGCTGTTTAAGCTAAAGTTTGCTCTTGACTGTAGGGATGATTAGAGCTAGAGCTAAAGGGTTTCTGCACCTCAGTGTTGTAGTTTTAGTTTTACCACCACTTCCACACCACATTAGCCTTGTGTTCATGAAAAATAAAGGTGCTTGGCAAAGAGAAACAACAGAGTAGTAAACGTGTCTTCAAACGGCCCCTTCATTTGGAGACAGAGCAAGGAAACCAAAAGGGTTTCAATCATGTAACTTGGAAGGATTTAATTAAGAAATTAAACAGCTGAGTTCCGCCCCTCCCTGCAGAATATTGAGATTAATCACACACTGTTTGAATTTGGATTAAGACGAGTGAATCGACCCTCAAATGGTTCCTGCTCAAGAGAGAAGCAGAGACGCTACCATCTACAGCTGAGTTTTAGCATTTCAGATTAAATCAGCATTACGTTCTGATGATGGGTGGAGGGGGGTTTGTATCAAGGGAAGTCAAGGGGGAGGGGGAGCATACTCTTACAAACGATTTTCTTTAGATTCTGACTTGACTTCGGGGGTACAGGCAAAAAAGAGTTGGTTAAATGTAATACATTTTTAATTGATCACAAGCTATAAACTGGGAAATTAGGAGAAAATCCAAGCAAGACAATCCAAACGGAGAAATGCTCAACATACAGTAAACAAGTCAGGTCTAATCACTCAGTTTTGGATAAAAACATGTTTATTTTTTTCGGGCTGCTGTTGCTGAACGGGCTGTGAGAAATGAACGTTTTGAACTAAGTGTATATTATCGTGTACGTTGAAGATGAACTTACCTGGATTAGGTGTACCGTATTTTCCGGACTATAAGTCACACTTTTTTTCATAGTCTGGCCGGTCCTGCGATTTATTCTCCGGAGCGACTTGCATACCAAATTATGTAGGCTATACCGCGCTGCTGCTGCGGGCCGGCTCCGGACCAGGAATAAGCTCCTCTGTCACGCTGGGAGGGTTTGAAACACCGCCATCCTCTGCTGGAGACCGTGGTGCGCTGCTGCGCCATGTTGTTTATTCTGTTATTGTTACTGGTACTTGTCTTGTAATGTGAAAGGCTTGGTCTCAGATTTTGTAAGAAAACTAATAAAATTTCCCCCCAAAATGAGACATAATCCAGTGCGACATATATGTTTTTTTCTTCTTCGTTATACATTTTATGGCTGGTGCGACTTATACTCCGGAGCGACTTATACTCCGGAAAATACGGTAGTTGGATTTGTGTCATCTGAACTTTGACCACAGTTAGCTTGGTGCTGAATTGCATTTGTACTCATTGCAGTGGTAAACAGTTTTACATCAGAGCACGCTATAGCTTTACACTCTAGCTAGCTAGCGCTGCTGCTAAATTCGGTTGCAGGCGACAAAATTCTATGTAATCAAAATGTGTATGTGGCGGTGGGCGAGAGGGGAGGGGCCAGCGGTGGCACCGGGGGATGATCTCCAATCAACGGGTGGCTGATTTTAAAGAAAAATGCCGCAAGAGACGGGGAGAGACTGGAAGATGCCGTGAGCTCCTGAGTCTCAGCATGGCAGCTACGCTATTCCTGAATAAGGGTGTTTGTTAATAAAGCTGCGTTACTGAGCAGAAGCTGTCTGTAGTCTGTGTGTGTGACTCTGTGGTAGCTGGTAAATGCTACAGTGTAAAGTTAAGCTTTTTATTGGTCTGCAAAATATTGTTTGAATGATGCACGCTTTTGAGAGATTCAAGTTCAGGAGCGTGAATCCGAAACACTTAACCGAATGGAGACTATTAAAGAAGATATCTAAATAATAATCCCCAGATCTCCACAACAGGTCTGGACTGTTAGCTAAATGTTTCTTGAGCTTTAAAACCTGACTTTCTGTACTCACTGTGGTTGTACGTGAGCCTCCTTGCCAGCATGGTTCTCCGTTCTCATACACCATCTGACTGTAGTGGTTCTTTGGTGGTCCTGCCCACATCCCCCACCTCCTGCAACAACAAAAAATGTACAGATTACACTAATCCTCCGACAATGTGCTTGTAAACAAACTTTACTGTTGGTCAAAGTGTTCTTTAAAGAATATTTGGGACAAAGGAGGATATATTAATCAATTTCCCTCTGGGATTAATAAAGTATTTTTGAATTGAATTGAATAAACTACACATATATATATATGTGTGTGTGTGTGTGTGTGTGTGTGTGTATCTTTTAATCGCTCCGTTGGCTAACTAAAAAACACTTCCTTCATATAAAAAATAAATAAATCTGGCAAGATGGCCCGTCTGGCAGTGTCCTTTTTTGGCAGCGGCACTCTCAAGTCCTGTCTCTTGCTTAACAATGGGGAGAAAATATTAATTACCGTTTTGTCAGAGTTAATACTGTGTGCAACACACAGGGGAAGAACAGGAGAAACTCAGTGATGCCAGTCTCTGATGAGTGTGCCTGCCCAGTGCTAGCTAATTACATTCTCACTAAATATTTCAAGGGGAGTATGACAAAGCGAAGCAGACCAGGGTGCCGGTGGACGCCATCCAACACAGCACTAACAGATGCCATTTCACTATGCTTTCTAACTTCCTCTGATCTTCTCTTGAGCCCGAGCAGCTTTTTCCAGAGCACAAACTGCATTTGTGATGCGGCTACGTCCCGATTTTAGTAATCCTGTCATGTGTGGATAGAAGGTCTTTTCTGCATCTGGTGCTCGACTGAGTGAAGATTTTACAGGAAAGGGCCTCACTCTGATCTCCTGCCCCACATCACCTACCCACTATTTTCTAGCTGTAGTCCCAAGGACAGCAGCATAAATAATGAAATCAATCTCTGTCTCACTTTCTGCAGACGTGTTTTCTTCCCTTTTATCCAGCGCAATTCCAGTCTCCTATTAATCATTCTGGACAAAAAGCTATAAAGACTATTAATTCAAAGAATTGTTCTGGTAATTTGCTTAAGTGCCTTCCACACTGGTGCCAATTCTGTCACAGAGGGTAACATTTGATAAATGTGCCCCACGGACCTTTCAACAGCAGATCAGGGCGACAAGATCAGATCTCTTCTGTTCTTTTAGGTTTATGAAAGCATATTTTCTTTTATTTCATGGGTTATGATTAGTAAACTCTGAACTCGCAATTGCAGATGACCCAAACCAACCTCGTCGACCCTGACGGGTTTTCGTCAGTCCGATTGAGTTAAAGTTGACCCCCGTTCTGCTTTGACCTACTTAAACCAAAACATGGAGTCCTCTTTGATTTAAAAAAAGCAATCCTGGAGCTTTTACAGACACATAGCTGTCTTCAGGTCTTTGAGTGTTACTTCATGATGTGCATGGCTTATTTAAGATGCCTGAACGGGTCAGTCAGAGGTGAAGTGGAAGTCAGCCAGGCCTAAGTGTTTCATCCTTTTTTCTCTTTGAGCCGGTTTGATTGGGTTTTAGCACTCTTTTAGCACCAGGAGGCCCTCTAATGGATTGCTGTCAGACTGCGCGGAAAATGTGACTGCGCTCCGGCTCTTGCAGCAAGTTGACCGGAGATCCCTTGTGCATCAGCTTCATTCCACCTCATCCACTGCAACCCGCCAACCCCCCTCTACACGCTTCCATCGCCTCACCTTCGTTGGTCTCTATTCCCATCCTGTCGGCCCTTTCCAGCCCCAGGAGGCAGCACACACCCTGTCAATTAGGGTTGAGTTATCGCTGAGATGTGGCCAACACCCCAGTCATTTGGACTCACAGGAGTCATGAGATGGAATCTTATTGGCAGATCATTCCCTGTAATAATACCGACCTGGGCTGGGTATTGGCAGGCCATTTTCTACAACCAGGTCTCAATAGGCTGCTGCACAGCTAGTTATTTGCACCAGCTAGAAATAAACAACACATGGAGCCATATTGGTTAGGTTTATTGCAAAAGGGTGTAAAAAGTATGTTTCCCCTTACAGATTTATTTTTGTTTTTACTGTTGTTTGTTACACTGGTGTGTTAAAGTAAACCTCATAACTGGTGGACACTTTTGGAGGCAAAAACTGCAATCAAGAAATCCGGTAACTAGTCTCCATTTTGTCTCACAAAATTGTTTGCATTAAGTCAAATTAAGGTTTCCAGCATAAATGGTTTGTTTAAGGTCAAAGCTAGGACAAATATTTTAGAATATTCTACTAGAGAGAACAAGTACTGGTTTTATTAATTACATCGAGTGGTCCAGGTCCTTAAGCAAAAAAACAGCCCCAGACCATCACACTACCACCACCATGGTTGACCACTGGCATGTTTTTCCTCTGGATTATTTTGTTCTTGAACTTCTTTTAATTCAGGGCATTTTAGTTGCCTTTTGAGATCATTTTGCCTACTTCATCTTGTCAGTTCATTTGAGTTTATTTATAATGCACCAGTTTAACCTTCTCAGTGGCGTAGTAGTATGAGCGTCCACCCTGGAACTGGGTCATACCAAAGACTTAAAGATGGGACCCAATGCCTCGCTGCTTGACACTCAGCTTTAAGGGGTATGATAGCTCCCAACCCAACTCAAGACGACAGAACCCCACAGATTTTGCAACAATTACAATTTCTTGTCCAATTTGTCATATTTTGCCTTTAACCCCTTGCAGACTATTGTCACAAATGAATGTCAAACACTGTTTGGCCCTAAAGTGTACGAGCATTCATACTTTCATCATAAACTTGTCATATGCAGTCCTATACACGTCTACTGCCCTCTGGTCGAGGATCTACAAGTGGTTAGGGCCTATTTTATTTGGCTATTATTGGTATATTGTTATACAATTACACAATAAATCAAAACATATTATTAAATAGTTGTTTTATTTTTGAAAAGACTAGTTTAAAAATGTTATTGTCGCCAAAACACAAACCATCCTCGCCTTCATGTATAACAACAGGACTAATGTCCATAAATCACTATTTGGATCTTCTCATTGGTAGTTGTGCATGTAGAAACCCCTCCCCCTCTCTTCCTGTGGCTAGCACCAAACATCCCTATTCAAATCTCTTCTCCGAGAAATTAAATGTATTAACACAATTTCAGTTAAGTAAACAGATCAATGCTGCCACTGGAGGATGAATAGGAAATTTGTGGAAATCCATCTGCAGCCTCGAGGAGGCAAACCAAGAGGCCACAAATGCACACTTCCTCATAATGAATAATGATGGAAGAATATTGAAGATGTGCTCAGTTTCAGGGCCTAAAACGCTGAGAATCTTATTTACAGACATCTGGATGAGGAGTCATTCTGTTAGCCGGCCTTCCCTAATGGCACAAAATGGACCTTCCATCAAAGTTAAACCTGTAATAGGCAGCATATCTAACCAGCTAAACCCATTATCCATACATTGTGGGTGAGATAGTAGGCGCTGGGGAACTCAGACATGCCTCTAACTGCACACATTAGGAAGCCAATCTCATTTAATTTTGCCTTTGAATTACTGAGGAGTGATTTCTATTGACACACACAATAGCAGATGGAGTTGTGATTTAATCACGTCCCAGAGCAATGCCGTCAAAATCGGTTAGATCTTCAAGCAGGAAAGGAAAAGGACGGTTTTCTGATCACGTGTTTGAGATTTCACCATTTTTTTCTAAATAATCTAATCCTGATGAAGGGTAATTACCATTAAAAAAGGCTGATTAGCTCCCCTTTCTGTGTCTGATAATAGCTTGAGCTGATATAAGCTTGTCTTACTTCTTTAAAACGACGCGGTGACTAGTCATCCTGTTTTAAGCTTCATTGGGGCGCTAATCCGTATGCCTCTGGTAATAAATCCTAAAGATCAACTGTTAATCTTGCTCACCACTGAAAGGGGGAGTCACAACCACAAATCTTTCAGAAGCAGTTATCATTTGGACAACCCCACTCTGGTCTTTAAACACCCCGCAGACACGGAGAAGAAAAAAATCTGGGCCAAAAGTGGGTTTTTGGTTGTGTAAATTTGTGTTTTTTGGGGAGTGGGGGGTCCCCTCCAGGCTATTATTTAAGAGAAAGTTGATGACCAAATAAGAATTAGAAACCAGTATACCGGTTAGTGTTTCTGTTGGGGAGTAATGTTTAAATTTGAGAATTTGCCTACATATTTTTGATGTTTGTAGAATTGATGCTTGCTTGAAGTTTCACTCTAAAAATCAAAGCATAAATGCACAAATTAAGAAAACTATGAAAGTGTTTTTCTTTTTTCATGTAAAAAATCAGAAACCGATGTCAGCGGTCGGCAAACATGACTGTACAGGTGCTGGCCAGTAAATTAGAATATCATCAAAAGTTTGAAAATATTTCAGTAATTCCATTCAAAACGTGAAACTTGTACATTATATTCATGCAATGCACACAGACCAATGTATTTCCAATGTTCATTACATTTAAATTTGATATTCATAAGTGACAACTAATGAAAACTCCAAATTTGGTATCTCAAAAAATTAGAATATTCTGAAAAGGCTGAATATAGAAGACACCTGCTGCCACTCTAATCAGCTGATTTACTCAAAACACCTGCAAAGGCCTTTAAAAGGTCCCTCAGTCTTGTTTTGAAGGCACCACAATCATGGGGAAGACTTCTGACTTAACAGCTGTCCAAAAGACAATCATTGACACCTTGCACAAGGAGGGCAAGACACAAAAGGTGATTGCTAAAGAAGCTGGCTGTTCGCAGAGCTCTGTGTCCAAGCACATTAACAGACAGGCGAAGGGACGGAAAAAATGTGGTAGAAAAAAGTGTACAAGCTCTAGGGATAACCGCACCCTGCAGAGAATTGTGACGACAAACCCATTCAAAAATGTGGGGGAGATCCACAAAGAGTGGACTGCAGCTGGAGTCAGCGCTTCAAGAACCACCACGAGGAGACTCATGAAAGACATGGGATTCAGGTGTCGCATTCCGTGTGTCAAGCCACTCTTGAACAAGAAACAGCGCAAGAAGCGTCTCGCCTGGGCTAAGGACAAAAAGGACTGGACTGATGCTGAGTGGTCCAAAGTTATGTTTTCT